ATACCACATATTATTATCATTTAAACTGAGGGGTAAATCTTCTAGTAATTCGGGTAAATCATTTCTTAAAAAGTTTTCATAATCTTCCCCATTTAAATTGTCAGGCAGAAAATGTGGCCCAATCAAATGGTTTGAGATTATTCCCATCCAGACATTCAAACTGAACCGTCTCTGTGATCCCTTTGGTCGCTTCTTATTGGGATTTCTGTTTTCTTTTGAAGCCCAATAATGAGCGTTGTGGTAATTGGTGATGCCGTCTTTATCAAATTTTGACTCATCTGTCCACAAGATGTGTTTTAAAAATGCTGGGTTTTCTAAATCTGCGTTGAGCATGAATCTGCAGAAATCTAATCTCCTCACGGGATCTCCTTCTTCGATAACATGTACCGGCGTGTAATGGTATGGATAAAGGCCTGCAGTATTCACTGTAAACCACACTTTCCACTGCGATATTCCAAGTTCTCGGGCAACAATATTAGTGGAAGTAGTTGGATCCGATCTAAACCGTTGTACTATTTCATTGTCTTGCTCTTCATCGTCATCATTGACACGAGGTCTGCCTAGGTCTGATCGTGGGTAGACAGTGGAGTTCCACTGTTAGCAGTTGCTGACAGTATTATAATCAGGTCATTATTGGCTCTCCATGTTCACAATGAAGTATATTTTTTTTACGGAAGTGGAGATCGCAAATTAAAAGGTTTATCAGAGTGGGTTGCTGACAAACGATACATAATACATAATAATATCTCATGTTTATTACTTTATCAAAATCAAAATTGTCCGTCCTTGTGTTTGTCTGTCAGTGAACTTATTATTATTACGTAACGTATTGTAATCTAAGCACCACTTATTTATTCATACATTTTGTCTCTAGGAAATGTATTTTTCCTGTTTAAAGACAATTATTTTCTCATAGGTACATACATACGCATGTTTACTTAAATATGAGAAACTTAATTCTACATTTTACACAAAAAAAAAACACAACATTGTCGTTTATGTCTAGTACAATATTGATTTATTTATTTAAGGTTGTCCAGCGGTGTCTGGCAAATTTACGAGCGTGGTGGTTTCATTAGTGGTGGCCGTAAGGCAAATGCGTCTCTTACGCCTTTACGCCTTTCTCCAACTAAATTCAAGGCGCCCATAAAAAAGTTCTGAGATTTAATCGTCACTGGTGTCCAGAACGAATCAAGATCTTCTTGGGGCAGATCTTCATCAGCCCACTAATTCTGATACATCCGATTAGGGTTACGTAATCCTTCGTCATAGTTACATACACGTATTTTCTGATGTCCTGAAGCTTCATAATCAATAACAGCTCCCTCGCACACACACCGTTTTGATGTCCTTTCTCTACGAAAGACACAAAATTCTTGATTTGGTGTATTTATGCTCAAATCCTTCGATATCATATATCCAAGAGAAACAAAGTCGCCTGCATTCAATAGTATTGGAAAAGCTGGATTTACAGCAGGAGCGTCTTCCAGACGGCGTCTTGGTCCAGCACGATGCGGTTGGTTCCAATTAGCACACAGGACTGGGCACCAATCATATAATCGTTGTCTCTTTTGGAGTCGCTACATAAACACAACAATTAACAATACCGAGTACGTCATCGATAGGATTTCCATAATACCTCTCTCCTTTATACTCGATGTTTCCAACTCCGGCGATCAAATTGACGTAAAGAACGTCACTGTCATGGACCGGATACAATCTCGCTCCTCAACGGTCATTCTTGGGCGGTAAAACAATCCAGCGCATCAATTGGGTATTCACTTGTGCCAACCGTGCGCATAACAATCGGTACTCGAGTTGACCAAAGCTACGCGGTAAAAACAATCATCGTAACAGGGACGATGGCGGCAGTCTTCTGAATTGAGAAATCAACTGCTTTTTCAGTAAGCCAAAGCATCGCCGAATCCGAAGTAAAGCGCTTTGTTTATTTAATCTTCTATGTCTTGTGTTGTGTTTTGACTTCGAGTTATTTTCGCGGAAGGTCCTGTTTCAAAGTCAAAATCAAAGCATTTATTTCAATTAAACCATAGTTTGGTACTTTTGAAACGTCAACACTGTCTTAACTGGTCTCTCTTTCGCTGACTTGGTGTACTTGAATTTGGCTTTGGCCTTTGCTGGGGTGCCCTAGGGGTGACTTCAATGCTACTGCATAGTATCAACATCGAGCACTTCCAGTACACAGGCGGAGTGCTTGCTATGTGCATACACTAATATACATGACATGTAGCAGTGGGCTTGAAGTAACTCCACTTAACTACGTCCCTGCGAAGAAACTTACTCCGTAAACGTAGAGTTGTACCTTTTCGTTGTTTGATAGGACCACTCGTAGCTCACCACGCTAACCCTGTTAACTACTTAACCGGACAAAAGTGGGGAGAGGGGGTTGTAATACCTTAACATCTGGGCCTGGTGTTTATCGCAGATATTAAAGGCAAGTGGCGCTTTCTCTGGCTATCATTTGGCTTGACTGACTTCTATGCTACTGCATATTATCAACATAAGCCCTACTTAAACTAACTCCCCTAAACTATGTCCCTGCGAGGAAACGACTACTTGTACCTTTTTTGATAGGACCACTCGTAGTTTGGCACGCTAAGGCTACTTGACTGGACTAAGGCTACTTTTATGACAACGTGATCATCTCACCGTCTACGGCTGGGGCGTAAGGACGCGCGATCCAGACCGATACCTAGTGGAGTAGTCGGGCATCTTGCGGGGCGTGATTAAAGTGTACTTTTACCTTGTGAGCGATGGATCGTCCTTAAACGTTTCATAATATATTACGTCCATAATTGGTATTTAGGAACCGAAAGGTTGACTTCTTTTTTGAGCCGGCAAATTCTTTGTCTTGCGTGAGGCGACAGAGCGAGTGTCGAGCGTTTTACCGACTAAAACCACCTCGTTCCTACTCCTGCTTCGAGTCAGGCCGCGGTACGTGCTTGCGCTTGACCCTGCCTAGGCACAGGTAGTCATGCCTGACAGGCAATATTTCAAATATCTTTATAATTTTACTTGTCTCGAATGAGCATCACGGTTGTTCTAATCGTGGGTCGATATTTGTCGCATGAATTATATTTGTTCATAATTACATGATTAACTTCACAGAATATATAGTTAGGTTTCAATTCTACTTGTTTCGAATGAGCTTCACGCTTGTTCTAATCGTGGGTCGATATTTGTCGCATGAATTATATTTGTTCATAATTACATGATTAACTTCACAGAATATATAGTTAGGTTTCAATTCTACTTGTTTCGAATGAGCTTCACGCTTGTTCTAATCGTGTGTCGATATTTGTCGCATGAATTATAATTGTTCATAATTACATGATTAACATCACAGAAAATATAGTCAGTTAACCTAATAATTAATAGTTCATTCGATTGTAGTCTATTTTCAAGTTTCACATGTTTGTATTATGTGTATCTATTTTATCATTATTTGTATCTCTATACTACCTACGTCCTTAATATATTTCTTACACGTATTAAGACAAATTTGACACTTATCGTGGTTAACCAATTATGCACTCGAAGAATGGAGCTGTTTACGTCGTCAAAATTATCTGTACTTCAATCTATTATAAAAATTAATAATGAATCATCTGCAAAAAGCACCATTCTTGGTTCATTTTTAAATATAAATGGCAAATCATTTATATAGACTAAAAAGAAAAAGGGACCCAATATTGACGCTTGAGGAACGCCCATATTCATCCCAGAGCCTTGCGAGTTAATACCGTTAACATGAACCTTTAACTATCTTTCTTCTAAATAAGATTTCATAAGACGGAGCGCAGAGTTTCTTATCCCGTAGTGATCTAATTTCAGCAAAAGCGTTTCGTGGTTAACGCAATCAAATGCTTTTGAGAGGTCACAAAAGACACCAATAGCATCCTGTGCTTCCTCTCAAGCACCAAATGTTTTCTTAAAGTGACACCGGCGTCCGTTGTGCAGAGACCTTTAGTGAAACCGTATTGTTGTTGGTGAAAGATAGAATGTTTATTAAAATGATGAAGCTTTCGAGACAGCATCAACTTTTCAAAGACTTTGCTGAGAACCGGCAAAACAGACACTGGCCTATAGTTGTTAGGTTCTTTAGTGTCACCACTTTTAAATAGTATTTCATTAGGTCAGGGAAAACACCGTTATCTACATTTATTGAAAATCACAGCCAGATATGGCGCTACAGTTTGAATCAGTGACTTGCAAACTTTTACCGACAATCCCCAAAGATCCTCCGTTAATTTGGTCTTGATTTCTTTAAAAACTTTAATAGTTTCTAAAGGACTCGTATATCGAAAACTAAAGTCGTGTTGACATGATTCTATGTTGTTCTTAAGCAAAGTTACAGAGTGGTTTTGCTAATGACTTTAAATGTATGAAGTGGCTTTACAGGGTTACAGGAAAACTCGTGCTAGATCCATTAAGGGCGTGGAGGACTCATCATTTCTGACTTATTTCACCATGAAACACCCTACCCTAAACTTCCCTTTTCGAGATATTCGACTTTTAATCTTTTTATTGAAAATTGGCGATTTTTATTCTAATAAATTTAATTTTGTTAGTTTGTGTGTCATATTAGTAATTAGTAAAGGTACATGTAGAAGTAATTTTTACATGTGTGATAAGATGCTTTAGGACCTCAATCATTGAAATAGTCAATAAGTTAATTCAATACGCCGTAGTAGAAAAGAGAAAGTTATTTAAAAAAAAATAGAATGTTTATTTTTCTAAGGGATATCTAAAAAAATATTATGGCAGTTGATCGGCAGATAAGTTATAAAATATCTACGTTTCATCAGCTATCTAACAAGGTATAACAATCTAGGGTTTTATTTAAATGCATTGAAAAAACTTCGTTTCATAGGCGATGGTGAAGGAGAAAATTAATACTTAGCCCTAAAAAGTATAACAAAACAATAGGCAAGCATGCAAAGTATTTATTAAATCAAGTTTTAACACAGCTTTTTGTTATTCTACAGTTTATGTTCAACATGGCCGCCTCTGTTTCTAATACATTGTCGTATTCTTCTACGGAGACCAGTCTTCACTACTCCAGTGGTCAACGTTGTTCTCATTTGATTTGCTGCATCCACAAACCTTTCTTTTAACTCTTCCACAGACAAAACTGGATTTGACTCGCTGTAGACAAGACTTTTCATGCGCCCCCATACATGAAAATTCATGGGGGTTAGGTCCAGACTTCTTGCTGGCCATGGCAACGGCCCACCTCGCCCTATCCATTTGTTTGAATAATTTATGTCCAGCCAGTCTCTGACACTTCTCCTGAAATGGGCAGGGCAGCCATCATGTTGGAACCACATGTCCCTGATCAAGTTGAGTGCCAGATTATCAAGCAAATCACTTAGGTCTCCTCTCAAAAAATTTTCGTAGCTTTCCCCATTTAGATTGTCCGGGAGAAAGAAAGGTTCACGGTTCATTCACGCTGAATCTTTGTTGGGAACCCTTCACTCTTTTCTTATTGGGATTCCTAAGTTCTTTTGGGGCCCAGTAATGCGCATTGTGATAATTAGTTATGCCATCTTTATCAAATTTGGATTCATCTGTCCACAAGATATTTCTGGACTGTATTGATCTGGTCTTCTACGTCATTTAGCATAAATCTGCAGAAGTCCAACCTTCTCGCGGGGTCTCCTTCTTCAATAGTGTGTACCGGCGTGTAATGGTTCGGGTATAGGCATAGGCCAGCAGTATGCACTGTAAACCACACTCTCCATTGCGAAAGTCCCAGATCACGGGCAACAATATTAGTCGAAGTAGTCGGATCGGGCATTAGCCCTACAGGACCCTATCTGACTTTGTGGTTGCCTAATGGCTCTTTGACACGAGCGCGGAACGCGATATGCTGTACGCTCGGGGCTTAGTGCTTCGCTTGTGCAGAAGGGCTTGTTGTACTGAAGACAAAATTACAATCATAGAGCTTTTCCTAATTAATACCTTGCTTCCTAGGCCTGTATTGGCTTTTTGTTTGTCGTATTTATTTACTTAGTTTGTTTTTTTTTTGTCGACTATTGACCTATGTGGTACTAACAAAGTCATAGTCTACACATCTTGGTACGCATTTTTATAATGATGTCTCACCGTTTGCCGTCGACGAGGTTGTATGTGATGTTAATTAAGTATCTTTCTTCTCATTTAAATGTGTAAATTGACATATCTAGAGGTACATAGACACAGGTTGGTTCAATCAAATATGCAAATATGGGTCCGTCTCTATTATAGTCCCTTGTGATACGACGGTGATGCAAACAGACCTGTACAGCTGGGAGGGTACCAGAGATCATACGCTAGTAACTTGTACTTAACAGAGATACACGAGTTGCTCTGCTTGTCCTCATATAAAATGACACAAGATAATATTACAGTGAGCGGCGTATATATTGTGTTGTCGTCGTGTCAGTCTTAAGACTATGAGGAAAATTGCACTACTTTTTTCTATGACCCTATGGTGGAAAATCTTCTCCACTCCTGCTGCTTCGTCTGGGGAGGACGAAACGGAGGGACTGTCAGACTCTTACTGACTAAACCATTCCGATAAGGAACCGATTCTGATTGGCAATGTGTGGGGTAATGCAACAATTGTTCAGGCCATCCTTCAAATTCAAATTATTGCGTTCCTTGATGTACGCACAGTTCTTTATATGTATATATAAATATAATATGAGTAACTTTCGTGAGACATACTAAATTAATTATTATATTTTCTGGTTAAGACGGGTACTGGAGAATAATGGGTACAACTGGCCTGGTGAGCACATTATTATTAGTCATTGTCATTGGATAACTATACCTGTAACCTGTCATGTTATGTAACATGTCCATGGGTCATGTTGCATTGATAAGAGAGAGCACTTATTTTTATAGTTTTACATAAACTTTTTTGGATTCACTTTGATGTTCACCCATCAGAAGATTATTTCATGTTTCGCTTAGGTTTCTGCGGTGCACACATCCGAAGATTACTTCATGTATCGCTTTGGTTTCTGCGGTGCACCCATCCGAAGATTATTTCATGTTTCACTTAGGTTTCTGCGGCGCACACATCCGAAGATTATTTCATGCTTCGCTTAGATTTCTGCGGTGCACACATCCGAAGATTATTTCATGCTTCGCTTAGGTGTTTGCGGTGCACACATTCGAAGATTATTTCATGCTTCGCTTAGGTTTCTGCGGTGCACACATCCGAAGATTATTTCATGTTTCGCTTTGGTGTCTGCGGTGCACACATCCGAAGATTATTCTTTGGTGTCTACGATTCACTAATCAAATAAAAGTCAAAATCATTTATTTCAATTAGACCAGTAAGGCATTTTGGAACGTCAATAAAAATTTAAATGTGAAGCTATTTGCTCATACCAAGGAATAGATTCATATGGAGAAGAACGAGCAAGGAACTCCATAGGTTACTCTCATCCGTAGATTACTTCATGTTTCGCTTTGGTTTCTGCGGTGCACACATCCGTAGATTACTTCATGTTTCGCTTTGGTGTCTGCGGTGCACACATCCGTAGATTACTTCATGTTTCGCTTTGGTGTCTGCGGTGCACACATCCGTAGATTACTTCATGTTTCGCATTGGTTTCTGCGGTGCACACATCCGTAGATTACTTCATGTTTCGCTTTGGTGTCTGCGGTGCACACATCCGAAGATTACTTCATGTATCGCTTTGGTTTCTGCGGTGCACACATCCGAAGATTACTTCATGTATCGCTTTGGTTTCTGCGGTGCACTCATCCGTAGATTACTTCATGTTTCGCTTTGGTTTCTGCGGTGCACACATCCGTAGATTACTTCATGTTTCGCTTTGGTTTCTGCGGTGCACACATCCGTAGATTACTTCATGTTTCGCTTTGGTTTCTGCGGTGCACACATCCGTAGATTACTTCATGTTTCGCTTTGGTTTCTGCGGTGCACACATCCGTAGATTACTTCATGTTTCGCTTTGGTGTCTGCGGTGCACACATCCGTAGATTACTTCATGTTTCGCTTTGGTGTCTGCGGTGCACACATCCGTAGATTACTTCATGTTTCGCTTTGGTTTCTGCGGTGCACACATCCGTAGATTACTTCATGTTTCGCTTTGGTTTCTGCGGTGCACACATCCGTAGATTACTTCATGTTTCGCTTTGGTGTCTACGGTGCACACATCCGTAGATTACTTCATGTTTCGCTTTGGTGTCTGCGGTGCACACATCCGTAGATTACTTCATGTTCGCTTTGGTTTCTGCGGTGCACACATCCGTAGATTACTTCATGTTTCGCTTTGGTTTCTGCGGTGCACACATCCGTAGATTACTTCATGTTTCGCTTTGGTGTCTGCGGTGCACACATCCGTAGATTACTTCATGTTTCGCTTTGGTGTCTGCGGTGCACACATCCGTAGATTACTTCATGTTTCGCTTTGGTTTCTGCGGTGCACACATCCGTAGATTACTTCATGTTTCGCTTTGGTTTCTGCGGTGCACACATCCCTAGATTACTTCATGTTTCGCTTTGGTTTCTGCGGTGCACACATCCGTAGATTACTTCATGTTTCGCTTTGGTTTCTGCGGTGCACACATCCGTAGATTACTTCATGTTTCGCTTTGGTTTCTGCGGTGCACACATCCGTAGATTACTTCATGTTTCGCTTTGGTTTCTGCGGTGCACACATCCGTAGATTACTTCATGTTTCGCTTTGGTTTCTGCGGTGCACACATCCGTAGATTACTTCATGTTTCGCTTTGGTGTCTGCGGTGCACACATCCGTAGATTACTTCATGTTTCGCTTTGGTGTCTGCGGTGCACACATCCGTAGATTACTTCATGTTTCGCTTTGGTTTCTGCGGTGCACACATCCGTAGATTACTTCATGTATCGCTTTGGTTTCTGCGGTGCACACATCCGAAGATTACTTCATGTATCGCTTTGGTTTCTGCGGTGCACACATCCGAAGATCATTTCGTTTGTTTCGCTTAAGTGATTGTGTCCCCCTTCTTGCCGATGATGGTACTTCGGAAGATGTAACTACGGAGCGTAGTGCCAAGCAACAGTTGTTACTTCAAAAACAAGATTGCAACTTTAACGCCATATACTGAACCATGGAAAAATCAACATGATGCCTTCATCTGAACAATGGGAATTAGAAGTTCAGCTGTCGGATCCCATCGATAATTTTAATTGGGAACTAGATTTCCTATTGAAAGGCTCCAATGAATAATACTATAAAACGTTGTCGGATGTTGAACAAAGGTATCGGACTTGCGAACTAAGCTTAACTCCACCAAGTGGTCGATTGCCGATTATAAAAAATCTGCACCCAAGATCGACCTTCCAGAATTCTCCGGTAACTATATTCAGTGAATTTCTTTTAAGCATTTGTTTTTGGGAGACCATCCATAAAAATCCAGTAATCAACCTCGCTCAAAAAATGTAAAACCTAAAATCCAAATTGAGAGGAGAAGCTGAACACTTTGTACAACTTATGATATTATGTATTGAGAATTACAACACTTGTTAGGATATTCTGAGCCAGCTTTACGACAATCGTCGTCTGCAGTTTACTGCCTACATGAATACTATATTGAATCTCCCTGTCATACAACATCCAGATTCATTTAACTTGAAGAATGTGCATGACGTAATTACAGAGTGTCTGACCGCCATTTCTAACATCATCATTGACATTACTTCTTGGGATCCGATCATCGTACATATTGTGTCTCAGAAACTCGACACAAGCACTCTGAGCGATAGACCATAGAGAATGACAGAATTTTGCGTAAAAAATAATCCCTGCGCATACGTGAATCATCATCATCAACAGCCTATAAATGCCTACTGCTGAGCAAAGCCTCTTCTCACACGGAGAAGGTTTGAGCATTGATCACCACGCTAGCTCAATGCGGGTTGGCGATTACAGACTTACCATTGAAATAAATGAAATGAAATGAAATAAGTTTATTCGGCATAAGACATGCACGCCAGAAAAGACATATAAATATAAAAAAAGCATAAAAACAGAAAAATTAAAAGATAAAAGTTAAATTATAAAACTAGAACTAAAACAAGCCAATAAGCCATTCAAGTGCGCGGTGTTGGCGGACATGTCCAATCCGAACGGGTCACCAACTCAGCATAAAGCTGGGCACAATGAGCACCCAACACTGATTTTCAGTTGGCACCCCTGCAGTGACGCACGGACGAGAGCAACACATACTTGTAATCCACATATGTATAGAAAGTTTGTTATTAATTTTGTGGGTTCTAGCCTAGAACCCTAGGTGAAGTGTTCAGTCAGATGAAGAAGAGATATATGATTATATGTATATTAAAATATTATCACATGAAGAAGAGACAGATAATAAAAATATAATTATAATTAAAATAATGTTCTGTTAAATAAATAATCATCAAATTAAAAAAAAACCACAGATTACA